CTCTCTCTCTCTCTCTCTCTCTCTCTCTCTCTCTCTCTCTCTCTCTCTCTCTCTCTCTCTCTCTCTCTCTCTCTCTCTCTCTCGTCTCGTCAACAAGTATGTCACGAAGAATGTTACTACTGGAAGGATTAAAAAAAAAAATATGTCAAAAATCCTAGTTCGCATATTGACACGTTTCAACGTCATTGTTCGTCATTGTTTTTTTGTTAAAAAGTCAAATGTGGACTGTATGCTTCATTCAAACTTGTCTTTCGCATTATCGGCACAATGCGCGATCTGATAGCAGGCCATCAATAATTACCTGGACCTGTGCCCGCCTAACTCTAACGAAGGACGATTTCTAACGATCCCCTCGCCAGCGTCCAACTTCTGGACGTAATTAATTCCCGGGCTAACCTGGAATGCTATAATTAATTGCCGGTGGGGCTGATGAGGGGCAGAGCGCAACGGGTGCAACAATATGTACCCCGCTTCGATTAGAAGTGTGGGGAAAGGGAGGGAGGGAGGGAGGAAGGGGAGAAGGCTGGGAGGTAGCGGAGGAAATAGGGGGATGGGGTGGGGACCGCCTCCGCTCGCAGTTATGCAATTAATTAAATTCAGTTTGTTATTCGCCGTCGACTGTTAATTGCCGCAAAACTTCAAGAAACTGCACACGCCTGACGTTTCAAAATGCATCACGCAGCCGTTCGCGATCGTATTCAAGATCGCGTTTGTAAGCTGTCCGCCGGTGCGAAACCCATTGTTCATTTTTCACAGCATCATCAGCACCGGAAATGACGTCCCGCGAATTCTCTCGTCGCCTCATCGGAAAGTCTCGTTAACACTCTTGCGATTAGTCGATAATCGCGCGCGCGTCTCAAAAATATCTATAAAGAAAAAGAAAAAAAAAACAAAGAAGACAACAAGCACATTTCAACAGATTAATTCGTGTCAGTGACACGCTCATAATTAACAGCGGCGCGTACGAGTGCGCTCGGGGTGCGCGCACCGGTAACTGCGCCCGTTTGACCTCGGATTTAATTGATACGCTTGCAAGACAGCCGGCAAATAAAAGATTAGGACGCGACGCGAGCGGTTTAATTAGCGCGGAAAGATCTACCTCTCTTTCACTTTCGCGTAACGAACCGTCTTGCGGTTTTGCTTGACGCGGTTACAAAAGAAAGTTACTATCTGGATTAACGAGAAAAGTGTCGACACCTTTGGTCGCTACAAAAAAAAAGATCTCGAGATTTTCCTCTTTTTAATGTCCTATTAGATCGCTACATCGCGATTCGCCATTACGTTCACGATCGGTTGTCGCATCGCGGTCTGTGGAAATATTTCTCGTTTCAGGAACGCGCTTTGGTGTATCTCTTATTCGGTCTTTGTTTTTAAGAAGAAACAAAAAGAGAAACACCGGGACGAGGAGGAGGAGGAGGAGGAGGAGGAAGAGGAGGAGGAGGAGGGAGGGGGAGGAGGCAGGAGGTAGAGGTGGAGGAGAAGAAACGAAA